GATTCCCGTTGAAGTGCACAAGAGAAACAACTCATCGCGTTCGCATTGATTTGGCATTGAATCCGAATTGGCATTGCACTGGCCATGTGCTGGCATTGTGCTTGCATGCGGTGGCACGGACCTAGCATAGAATTGGCATAGTATTGGTGATCCTTGGCATTGCGTTGGCCTTGCGCAGGCAAAGCGCCGGTATGGCACTGGCATTGCGTTGGCATTGAATTGGCATTGCATTCCTGTTGAGTCCTCCACAGACGGACTCCTACTGAAACCCTCCACAGAAAGATTCCTAGCGAAACCCTCCACAGAAGGATCCTGATTGAAGATTGCGCAATGTGGATTCCAATTGAAACCCTCCACATAAGGATTCTTGTTGAAACCTTCCACAGAAGACTTTCTCTGGTGCAGTCTGGCACCATATGTGATTGCTGGAGGAGGAGAGGGGGGGCGGGGGGAAAACAAATCGGTTAAACATTTTGTCAACATTCCCCCCCCCCCCCGCCCATCCATCCCCCCACATGCGCCACCACAGGCGGCGTGGACGGTTTCTCCCTCTCCCTCACCCTCCCTCCTCTCCCTTTTGGGGGTCGAATGTCTACGAGTCCTCTTCACAGAAATGTGCGCGGCGTTGGGGCGAGAATGCCGTTTTTGAAAAAGTGTGCGCGGCGCTGAGGCGAGAGTGTGATTTGTAGAGAATTGGGGCTTCCAGACCGCCTCTTGAGAATCCCCCGTTCTCTCCCTTCGAATGCATGACGACGGTGCTTAATTCAGCTTTGGCTGACGCGCTTGAGGATGAGAGCCCAGGAAAGGAGAGAGGAGCGGCGACGGGCACAGGGAAGGGAAATTGCAGGGAAAGAGAACGACAGCGACGACGATGAACGAATGACGGCGACGACGACTCGAACGGAAATGCCCCTCACACACCACGCCGACAGGTTCGGTGGATTTTGATGGCTCGGGTACACCCCCCTTGCTTATCCCCGAGAGCGTTTAGGTTTTGTCAAATGGAAAAACACCCTGGAACGGTTCCGGGATAATCTTCCGTCTGGGGCGCTCCCGAGATTCAGTCGGGGAGCCGAGCCGCGAAAAAAGGCCCCCCACTGAAAGATTCGATTCGGGAAGTGATGATTGTGGGGGGCTCGAGTACAGAGCGCCTTTTGCATCCGGGGCGTTCCCGAGATGCAGTTCAGGAGCCCAACCGCGAGAAGATGCTCCCCAATAAGAACCCTACATGGGAAAAAGGACGGCTTTGAGGGCTCGGGTGCCCCCCCCCGCTTATCCCCGAGAGCGCCTTTTCCAGTGTGGGGGTCCCAGATGGGAAATCGCCTAGGGACGGTTCTTGGGTGATTGCGAAGGCCTTACGGCCGATGCCGCCGACCCTGAAGGGGGACGATGAACGACGACAACGACGACGGCGACGGCGACGGCGACGACGATCGCGAGTCCTTGTTGGGGCCTTCCCGGGCCCTCTTGGGCTGTCCTGGGGGGCCTTTGGGCCGTCTTGGGGTCTTCCTGGGCCATCCAGGCGTGTACTTGGGCCGTTCTGGGGAGCTTTCGGAGGCAACTGGGGCCGACGTGGAGTGTATGAAGCCTGGAAGTCTAGCAGGCGAAAACACAAGGGCGATTTCGGGACCTCCTGGTAGCCTCTTGGAGTGGGGAGCTTGAAATGTGGGTTGGTTTTCCCCCTCTTCGGCCTCTCTTAGGGTGTTCCTGGGGCTCTCTTGGGCGTTCTCGGTCGGAGAAGGGGGAGGGGGGGGGGGTCACGATTCGCAGGACGCTTCCAGGGACCCCGCGGGATCTTCTCCTCCCTCTCACCCTCCCCCGGGACCTCCCCTCTCTCGTAGGGAAGGGATTACAGGAACGGGGTCCCCTTCGAGTTTATTACGCTGTTGTTCGATTCTCCTCTGGCTGGAGCGTTTGAGGAGGTGGGCCGAGGAAAGAGGGGGGGGTGGTCCTGGGAGGCTCATGCAGGTTTTAGGGTGGTGCGGGGGAAAAAACGACGAACGGTTTGTGGGTGATTTTCAAGTTGGGGCGCTCTCAATATTCATATGTGGAGCCCGGCCGCGAGAAACGGCTCCACATTAAGATCTTCCATGTGGAAAATGACAATTTGGGGGTGGCTCGGGGTACAGCACCCTGCTTATCTCCGAGGGTGCTTTTTGCATGGCGGGGGTCCCAGATTGAGAATCACCCTGGAACGGTTCCGAGGTGCTTTTCCATATGGGGCGCTCCCCAAAGCGGCAGGCGCTCTCGGGGATCTTTGGAGGGGTGCGCCTGGATCCAGAAAGTGGCCAGTTTCCACATGACATCTCTTCTTGCGGAGCCTTCCGTTTCAGGTGGGCCTTCAGCTGGACCCCAAGTGGAGGGGGTCAGATGGAACATCACCTTGGAACAGCGGCCCATAGGGCTCCCGAGAGCAGCCCAGTGCCAGGGTTTGGGTGTTCTGACGATTGTTGGCATGCGCCAGACATTCGGGCCGGGCGAAAGGGGGGGATTGGGAAAGGGGGGGGTACGAAATTTGCTGCATGCAGCTGGGTTCGGCCTCACCGAGGGGCCCATTCCTCGATACATGGCCGCCTCCGGCGCCGGGAGGCGCCGGGGAAATCAGCTACGCGAGCTGATTCTCAAACCCCCCCTTTGCTATCCCCCCCTTTCGCCCGACCCGAGACATTCCCCATGGCGTGTCCTCGATGTGGTGGTGGTCGCCTGCTCTTCCCGCAGCACCTTCGGGCGGAGCCAGGGCCTCACTCAGGGGCAACTTGAGGGGGTGTGGGCTCAGGGGGGGGGGGTCGCATCGACCCGCAGTCCCCCTCCTCCTCCTCCTCCTCCTCCTCCTCCTCCTCCTCCTCCTCCTCCTCCTCCCCCTGACAGCCCACCCCCGCCCGAGGGCCTGCGGATCCGCCACGGGGGGCCTATCGCCGATCCCTCGGCGACGCATCGCCGATTCCTGCTCGGTGCTCCTCCCCCCTGAGCTGGGGTCCCCCCCCTTGACGCTCCCCCGTCGGGGCCGTGAGGAGTCGCCCCAGAGCGTTCTGGCACGTCCTCAGAACGTTCTGGCACGGCTGCGGCGCCCGATGCATATCCTCCAGGACGGTCGGATCTCAGAGATCCCATGCTGGTTCCGGCCTGGTTCTGTCCCCGTCCGGGCTCCACCTATCTTGAGGCGCCGTCGAGGGCTCGGCCAGGAGGCTGGTGCCACGGCGTCGGGCCAGAGTGGCTGTCTTCGATGGGCTTGGCCTGGGTCGGGCATGTCCCCCTGCAGGCGGAGTTTGAGCGAAACATTCTGGGAACACTTCAGAAATACTTCAGCCTGTGCAGAAGTACCAAAAACGTCGTCCCCAGACTATTTTCCATTACTTTTGAATATTCCCCCTGTAGAGTGACATGCCCGACTTAAGACGGCGGGACGCCGGCGCCCCTGGCTGAGGTTGGCATCGCTCGGGCATGCAGCGTCGGCCCCGCGCGGGCGGCACGAGCGTCGCAGCGTCACATCGTATGAGCCCCCCGTGGTGTGCTGGGCATGCTGTTTCTTGGGAGGAGGATCCTGGAGGCCTCGCGCGCCGCGCATGCTGTTGGTCGGGAGGAGGATCCAGGAGGCCTTTGCGCGCCGCGCAGTGATGGTAGCATCGAGTCCGAGCGTCCGCCCCGCCGGATCTGGGACGACGTGCGCGCGGCGATGTTCCGACCCGAGTCCGACGCATCGGGCGTGGATCCGGCGCATATCCAGCGCGATCCGACGTGAACCCGACGCAGACGTACACCGGGTCTCGAGTGGCCGCGCGAGGCCTCCAGGATTCTCCTCGCACGGTGCCACAAGATTGCTCTGCCTGTTCTGGCCGTGAGTCTCCAAGGGAAGCACACCGTTCGGGTTGACCTAAAATGGGGTCCAGCGACAAGGGCGCGGTGCAATAGACTTGGTGCAATAGGTTTGGTGCAATCCATGTGGGGCGTGCAATACATTCCGGGGCGCAAATGTATTGCTGGATTTTCGCGTGCAGTGCATTATACTTGCAATGAAGTGCAGTACAACTCTCCTGCGCAACACATTTGCGATCCAATGGCCCGAAATCCATTGCAGACCACACCCCTTCAGAGGGACCCCCTTCTGGGTCACCCAAAATCGTATCAGCATGTTAGGGCGACGAGATCTATGCATATCCACTGCTCCTTGCCAGGCCCATCCTGGGCCCAGGAGCGGTGTATATGCCTCCCTGGCCAAGCCAGGAGGGCGTATACACAGCTCTTGGGCCCAGGATTGGCCTGGCCGGGAGCAGTGGATATGTATAGATATCGTCGCCCTACATGTGCGTCTGCGTCCCATTGAGGCCCCCCGACGAGCCCCCCCCCCCCGGGCGGTGTGCAGGTCGCTTCGGGGTCGAGCGGAGGGCCCGTTCGGCAGGAATCCGGGGGATTTGGATGACGGGCAGTGACGCGGCGAGTCGAAGGATCACACGTTGTTGTCCTCCTCCTCCTCCTCCTCCTCCTCCTCCTCCTCCTCCTCGTCCTCCTCCTCGTCCTCCTCCTCCTCGCTCCCCTCGTCGCTCGCGAGGGCCGCCGACGGGCCGCCGGCCGCATTCCGCCAACTGCTGGCCAGATAGAGCGGTTAGCCATACAAAGACGTGCGACCATCCATCACACGTCTTTGTGTCTCTCTCTTTTTTTATCTGATTAAGAATGAGATAACCGGTAACCATGAAAAGGCACAATTGTTCAGTCACGCGGAGATGACAGATCGCACGTCTTTTGTGATTATCCACTGTTTTGCCGTTGCTGTATGGCTACTCGTCGTTTTATCGTGTGATGTTTCATCCCAGGGAATGCCAGCAGACTTTGCTATCAATTTCAGTTCTGCTGGGGTGCGTTGTCTCTTCGAGAGAAGGTCGCCTGTCCAGCATCGATCGCTGTCGGTTTTTGACAGCATTTCCTGTTGAGCACCGTGCCCGCCCATTTTTCCCGTACCCCCCTGGCGTCCGAAGTAGAGGGCGGGGAGTTTATTTCGTTCCATGAGGGCCGCGCGAGCGCGAAGATACTCGCGCTCCCCGCGTCGCGAAGCGCGAAAAGAGGTGGCCCATCAGATTTCCCAGCCAGCCAGAAGTTTGCCCGCCATGGCCGACGGCGCGAAGGAGTCCGAGATTCTGAAGGGGTATGTGAAGAACGGCGACGTGGTGGGCATCTGTGTCAGCGGCGGCCTGGACTCCAAGACGGTGGCGCTGCGTCTGAGGCTGGCCGGGGTAAAGGTCAAGTGCTTCACCGCTGACATTGGCCAGCCTGATGAGGATGACATCAGTGACGTGGTCAAGAAGATGGCGCCGTGCGGAGTGGAGACGACAGTGGTCGACCTCAAGGACGACATCGCGGAGTGCGCTTTCGAATGCATAGCTTGCATGGCGATGTACGATGGAGGCTACTGGCAATCCACTGGTGTTGGGAGGATTGTGACCGCCCGTGGCTTGTTGCTGGCCATGAAGAAGCAGGGCTGTACCGTTCTCTCCCATGGCGCTACAGGCCGCGGCAACGACCAAGTGCGCTTTGAGCGGTACGCGAACGTGATCGACCCGAACTTCAAGGTGTACGCCCCGTGGCGAGACCCCACCTTGCTGGAAGAATTCCCAGGCCGGACGCAGATGTTGGAGTACCTGCAGAAGCACAATATCGGCCATCAGATCGTCTCGCAGGCGAAGAAGCGCTACTCCACAGACGCCAACATCTGTGGTCTCAGCAACGAGGCGGAGGACCTGGAGTCCATGGAGACATCCATGACCATCTGCAACCCGGTGATGGGCGTCTGGCCGAAGGATGCCCCGGAGAAGCCCGAAGAGGTGACTTTCAAGTTCCAGAGGGGACGCTGCGTGGCCATCAACGGCACGGAGATGACGCCCCTGAGAGTCATCCAGGAGGCCAACAAGATTGGCGGGCGCAATGGCCTGGGCCTCTCGCACGCCCTGGAGAACCGGATCCTGGGCACCAAGTCCCGTGGGGTCTACGAGGCACCCGGAATGACCCTGCTGGGCCGAGCGCTCACGTACGTGTATCAGTCTGTGTTGGACCGCCGCTCCACGGGCCTCTTCAAGACGCTCTCGAGCCACGTCGCAGATCAGATCTACGACGGGCGCTATTTCGACCCCTCCACTCGTGTGGCCATCAACGCCATCTGGCAGTTGGCGGAGCCCGCGGACGGAACTGTCAAAGTTGAGCTGTATAAAGGCAACGTCCACTTCTTGAGTTTGGTTGATTGCCCGCACAGCCTGTACTTCGAGGCGGACTCTTCAATGGAAGCATCTGAGGGCTTGAACCCAGTGAGCTCGCAGGGTTTCTTGGAAGTCTCGGGTGTCGAGGCCAAGAGCATGGCAAAGGCGGGCCTCATCGACTACGGCAGCGTCTGGGCAAAGAGGCAGAAGAAGGCTTAAGAACTCACACGAAGGCGTGAGCGTCGGTTGAGCAGTAGGCAGTAGGAGACGTGTGACGGTCACCGAGCAGCGGTGTATTTCAGTTTTGCGTTGTGCACGTTAATAATATCAGGCTGGCGTGATCGTACCGTCAAAGAAACGCGAGCGTGTACCAATTTATGCGGGTGCGTCCACCGGTTCTTGGGTCGCCGCCACCAGAACTGTCGCAGAGGTGTTTCATTTTTCTCGCGTCCCAATCGTCATCGTTACTCGCGGGCTGTTTTGTAGTGTTCGTCGTAGCGGGTGTGTTGTGGTGGTCATGCTCAGTGTGGTTGCCATTGCTGTTTGCTCATGAGGTTGCAGCTGGTAATTTGTCTCAATCGTCCATCCTTTCTTGTTTTGCCAGCCAGGGTTTTGACTCTTGTCGCCCCGTGCCTCTTTGCTTCCTCTTCGTAGTCGTTTCTAGAGTCCTAATCATGTCCATCTTAATTTTCCCGTCTACCTGTATACTATGTCTACGCGTGTACACATACGCATACTGGCCAGCGTGGACCCCACGGCGTATTTCTAGCAATATATGCAGTGCCACTGATTCGAAGCGGTATCGGTATTGCAGTCTATGTGGTGAATTTGTGGTTTGCGATCAATGCGTTGCAACATAGTCGGTGAAGCCTACATTCATACATATATGTGTGCGAGGTAAGAGGGTTACATCTATATGCGCAAACATCATACACATACACATGTATATGCGGAGCAGGTGATGTCTATTGTGCAACCTATGTTGCGTAACCACCTTGTTGCTATCTGTGTTGTGCAATCTACACGGTGCAACCTATGTTATGGTGTGCAACCTATGTTGCGAAATACATGTCGTGCAATCAGTGTTGTGCAACATATTTGGTGCCATGCTATGCCATCTGGTGTGCAGCATGTGCGGTGCAATCTATGTTGTGCAATCTATGTTGAGCGATTTATGGCGTGCAATCTGTCGGTTGCGGTTATTTGAAGTGCAATCTAGAGGCGGCGACGGGCGGCGACGGGCGGCGACGGGCGGCGACGTGGCGGGGCGACGGGGCGGCGACGGCGACGGCGTAACCTCCAGACCGACCTTCAGGCCCAGACGACGGGGCGGCGACGAGGCGGCGACGGGGCGACGACGGCGACGACAGCCTCCAGACTGGCCTTCAGGGCCAGCTCCTCAGAACACAATTCAGCACCCCTAGGTGCAAGCCCTGCTTGAGGAATACACCTTAGGCGATGCTTAAGAAAACCTAAGTTTTCGGCCAGAGTCTTGATTATTCTTAACTTGTCAATGTAAATCCCAAGATTTTGATAGAAGTTCTGGGTTTTAGTCAATTTCTGAGACTATGAATTTCTTAACCCATGATTTCTTAAGCATTTCGCAGGGTGTATACACATACACATGTATACACTTCTCCCTCTCCTCCCTCTCCCTCTCTCCCTCGCTGCCTCCCCAGGCGTTGCTGCTCCCCCCCCTTTGCGTTTGTCAGCAGCACCCTCCCCATCTGTAGTTTCTCTATTTCTCGTCTCTCCCGTCCTCGCCCTCGTCTTCGTGGCCGTTTCGTCGCCCTCGCCCGCCTCCTGCTCGCCCCTGCTCGCCCTCGCCCTCCCCCTTCTCGGCCGCCTCGACACCTCCGCGTCCTTCTTCCGTGCTCGTCTGCCTCTCAGTCTTCTTCTTCTTCCCGCTGATCCTGTCGTCCTCCGGAGGTCTCCGGAGACCTCACGAGGGCAGAAGCCTCCGAACACTTCAATCCATCTCTTCGTTGCCACCTTCGCTGCCGCCGCCGCCGCCATCGTCGTCGTCGCCGTCGGAGGGGCGCCGGAGGGGCGATAGAGGGGAGGCATTGGGCCGAACGGGTGGCCCGGAGGAGTTCGACAAGAGGATCGACTACAGAATTGATTTGGCCCAGAATGGGTTTTCCCGTCGAATCTACGAAACAATAGATAGAACGCTCAGTAGATCTGAGGAGCATTCGATCGATGTACTTGTTCGTAGACTCGACGGACACATCAATGCTGGGGTAAGTCCACTCTGTAGTCGCTCCCCTACTCGAAGAGTGAATTGGGCGTCGTCGTCGTTGGGCGCCGTCGTCCGGCGGCGTCGTCGTCGTCGGCCGGCGCGCGCGAACAGCCAGCGGCATCGGCCCGGAGCCGGCGACGGGAGCGACGGGAGCGACGGGGGTCGGCGCGGGCGCGCGCTTCGGGGAGGGGGCGGGCGAGCCCGAGACGCCAGCGGCGCTCCTCGGACGTCACCTCTCAGGAGGGAAAAAGCACACAGACACAATGATTCGTCGACTCCCAGAAAATATGCGAAAATATAGGAAGGGGGGGGGAAGACAGAAACCCAGAAAATATAGGGAAAGATGGGGATTTGTTTTATTTGCGTGTATTTATTTGCGTGTTTGTGAGACCCTTCAACCTCACCGAGCGTCGGAGGACGCGCCATGGGGGAGGCGATACAGGGGGGGGGGGGGGCAGCGAAGGCTGCCGAAGAGGGACCCCTCGAGGTGCACTCTGGGGCGGCCGAAGAGGGCACCCTGGTCCCCTGCCCAGTGTTTCGCACGCCCAGGATGTCGCGCCCAGGGCCGCGTTCCACCGCTCGTAAAGCGCCTGCTTGCGAGCGTCGGAGAAAAAACAGGTGTTCGCTTCGAGGTGATGGATCGTGAATCCCCCGCGGTGGATCCGCGCCATTTGCGAGTGCCTACTCTGCCAGTCGCGGAGCGCGCTCCTCTGTTGCCGCATAAAGGCACCCGCGCGCGAGGGTTGCCCCGGGTGCCCCCTGGCCCGAGGTGCCCCCAGCTCTTCGCTCGATTGTGTGGCCCTGGGGGCCCTCTGGGCCTCGCGAAGGGCGCTCCAGAGGCCGTGGGGGCCTCCGTGGCAATTCTGGGCGCGTCTTGGGCCAGGGTCAGGAGGGAAAGAAACACACAGACACAATTAATCGTCGATCCCCAGGAAAATACGGGAAACTATGGGAAGTGGGGGGGAAGACAAGAACCCAGAAAATATGGGGAAATAGGGGGAATCGTTTTATTTGTGTGTTTTTATTTGTGTGTTTGTGGGCCCCTTCACAGGGGCACGTCTGGCAACACCCGCCGCTCATGGGGGTGGTCCTCAGGACGGGGGGTCCCAGGGCTTCTCGCCGCTGCTCTCGGCCTCCGGGGGCCGTTCCTGGGCCAGGGGCAGGTCACAAGACGACTGGGGATGAAGAGCTGGCCTGGGGGGGAGCCCCCAGGGCCATGACCGAGGATAGAAAAGCGCCGACCATGATCAAGCTGTCCGGGGATCTTGTCGACGCCGCTCTTGGTCATGGTCCTTGCCGGCCGTTGCCGATTCGCGAGGATGCTCCTCGAACTGATGCTGACCTAGGTTCAGGCGATCGGAAACATGGATCAAGGGGGCGTGGATCAGCGACGGGCCCCGTTTCCATGGGAAATCGCGGATTTCCGCCGCCGAACAAGGCGGCACGGGCCGCATTTTGGGGATGGCACCTCCCCCGATCCATGGATGTAGCGACCGCGCGCCAAATCCATGTGGATGGTGACCAAGATCGACACGACGTTTCTGCTTTCAGTCTCGGTCATGATCGCCGCCTTCATCTCCGCACTCACCCGCGTCCCTCCTCCCCGCCTCCGTGCCTGGCCTGGGCCATCCTGCGCCATGGCGCGGCGTGCACGCCTCGCCTGGCCGCGTCGGGAGGGGCGAGAGGGCCGAGACCCAGGCATCCGACGACCCGGCATCAGACTGCGACTCCGCACGCTGCTTTCGGAGGTTGATAGACCTCCTACCCCGACACGTCGAGTAAGGCATTGGCCGTTTTCGGTTCGCGAGAGGGCCTCGCGGCCGTAATTTTTTTGCGGGTCCAGGTCCATCTGTTTCGGCCTTAGGTCGTTCTCACTACAGAGCCGTTTTTAAGACATGCTCCGCGTGCGGATCATGTATTAAAAATGCAGGGATGTAGTACTAGAAACAACGATGCGTTCATGCACAAATTTGGTCATACATTCGTCATGTATTAAGAATCCTATGTCTTTACAATCCTATGTTTAAAAAACTGCCCTGTACGGGGAGACTTGCTAAGAGGAGGTTTGTTCACCGCTGGTCCTGTGCGGGGTGGGCTCACCGGGCCCCCTGCCAGCGATCAATGAAGGATATCGGGGGTCGATGCATCCCCCCCTCTGTCTCTCCTATCCCCCCTATCCCCCCTATCCCCCCCTATCCCCCCCTATCCTCCTATCCCCCCTATCCCCCCTATCCCCCTATCTCCCCTATCCCCCTATCCCCCCGATGCATCCCTCCCCGAGCCCACCTCCACCTTATGCTACGGGGGAGGATGAAGGGGGGCTTGGGAGGTAGTGCTGCCACGTGGGGCCCACGTCGTCTCCCCTTGGGGTTTTACTTTCGTGTGTCGTTTTCTTCGGCAGAGCTTATCGAAGGCATTCGCCGTCGGCGTCGACATCGGCGTTACTCAGTGATCGCCATCGCACGGGCCGTGGTCACAGTCTAACTCCAGCGCGATTGCATGGACTTGAGCGTGCGAACCCCGCCGTCGTATTTTCCGAGGGATGCAGGGTGCCCTTGGTCGAGGTTTGCAGGACTCGGCCTGGCTGGCGAGCTGAATCTCCGCATGGCGCGACAACCGTGGGGGACGCAATGCCAAAATTCGCCTTGGCAGGCAGATGCGACCCTCTAACCTGCCCGTGCAACCGCGCAAGCCACGCGCGAGGCGAGACTGCCATCTGGTGGGGGACGTCGGGGAAAGCCAGGGGGACATCGCCAATAGGCCATCCCTGGGAGGCTTGAGGCCTCACGGCGTGGGATCGGGCGCCCTGCGTGTGGGGGGAACTCTTCCAAACGTGGGGCTTTCGTCTCCACGGGTCTTTGCTCGTCCTGCCCTTCTCTGACGGGAGGCGGCCTCCGGGCCGCCCTCTGCTCGCCTCACCCGGCAGGGAAGCTCGCTGTAGTGCTGTCTGGCCCCTGCTTTCCCCAGCACGTGTACG